CGGGTGGGGCGCGGGCGGCGCCCGCGCCCCCCGCCGTTCGCACCCGGGCGTGTTGCAGGGCCTGGCGGCTCCTCACAAGCCCAGGGAGACCCTATTTCTCCCGGTTTTGCCTCGCAGGGTGGGAAATCAGTCCCATCACAGGCATGAAGTAGTCGAAAAAAACGCAGTCAGGTGCCTGGAATGGGAGTTGGTTTGAATTACTTATTATTTTAGGAGGACGTGGAGTCGAAGTCACTCCTGCCGTGTTTGTGCTCAAATTACGTGTGTTTTGCTTGTAGCCCAAAATGTTCCAAACTCTGATTGGGAAAAGAAGGTAACTGAATACTTCAGGGAGAAATTGAAAGAAAATAATGCTACAAACTGGGTAAGATTGTTTCCATCTTTCAGAGTTATACCTTTCTTAAGTTCCCTTCTTTTTACCTCTGAATTACTGCAGTGATAATGCTTTTGAGAAGCTCTTCCTTCTAAGTACAGTTCCAGATTTTAGGCCTAGATTTTGTGATAGGTTATTTACATCTTAGTTGCTTTAATCTGTGCGTAAACCATAACTGTAAAATCCTGACTGGAGCCAAGAGAGGCCAATCCACTTGACTTCAGTGTACTGTTTTGCCCTGGGCCATAACTGCTGAGTGCTGCCTGTTTGTGGCACGATCCAGTAGATGGCAGGAGCTGACAAATGCTGTCATTTTTGAAATGACATTTTGCCTGCCCTGCCTGCTCTGAGTCTGCAGCAAGTGTTTGTACCTCACACATTTCTGAACTGCCCTTTATAAACTCCTTCTCTCACAACCTTTTATCGTGATGCTGCAGACTCCCTGTGGGTTTGTGGGTTGAAGGAATAGATGCTTGGGCTTTCAGGTTGGGGAGAAAATACTTTCTGCTGTTATTGGGTTCTATCAGGCCTGATTTTCACAGTTTAAGCAAGAAATCTATGCTTTAGGTTTAAAAATAAAGCATGCACACTGAAATTCAAAAGCTGATATTTTTCTAAAACGCTGTGGGGAAAATGTCATCGTGTAACACTGTGGAGTGGATTAGGAACTTGCATTTCAAATCTGTTCTACTTATGGCTAAAAAAACAAGTGAAAACAATCTGATTTATTTTTTTCTTCCTAAGTCAGTGAGTGTTCTGTAATTAATATTTCAATGACAGTTTAAATCAAAAGTGTAGATGGCAAAATTGTATTAAATTTACAACATTAAAAGGACATCAGAAGGAATTGATGTACATTTTCTTACTCAAGAGAAACATGAGAGAATATATATTTGTTAAAATGTCATTTCCTGTAGGGCCACTTCTGGTTTTGGTTTTTTTGTTGCATTTTAGTATTGTGTATGTTTGGTTTGTTCTTTTCAACAGAGTTTCTCTTCAAAATCATAAAAGTGTTATTGCAAGCCCCATTATTTCTAGGTATACCACGTGCTTAGGCATTGATTTGTTTTTCCATTGTCATGCAAACATGTCTGGAAAAGACTCCCCCAGTGTGGACTTGGAAATTAACATGCAGGTTTTCCATGGCCTTTTGTTATAAGAAGTTGTGGGTGTGATTGCTATGGTACCACTGGTACATAATACAGGGAAAAATGCTGTTAAATAAAATAAGTATTAAATTCTATTTAAGAGTTAATTTCAGATGTTGTAGAGTTTTTTGTACAGTTTCAATGGCCAAAATGCACTTCTTTGTAGTCCAGTAGCAGCACTGAGAAATTCAAGGACTGGTGGCTTTGGCACTGGAAGAACCTGGGAACTGTTCAGTGTCTGATAATAGTAGCTATTATCTGTAACATCTGTTGCAGAGACTTCTGCTGTTGAGATACACACATGTAGTTACTGTTGGATTAGGGCAGGAGGTATACTCAGAAAATACTAAGTATATGGATTGTCAGAGGCCATTGATTGTATCAACAATCCAGGGTTTTAGGCAAGTCAGTGAAGAGCAGGCTATACCAGAAGATCAGATCATAAGCTGGAGACAGCTTTTGTGCTGCTTTTGGGTTACTTCAGGGCTTTTCTTCACATCTCTCTGCCAGTTGTTTAGAACAAGCTCTTTTTTTATAGGTTCCATCACTGAATGATGTTCCTGTGCATTATCTAAAGCCCAACAGTTTAGTGAAATTCCGTTGCATGGTTCAAGATATGTTTGATCCTGAGTTCTACATGGGAGTGTATGAAACAGTTGATTCAAACACAAATGCACGTGTAAGTGACGTTGACTTATTATTCTAGTGAATGTTTAACATTTTCATTCTAGACTTTGTATTTCCTCTAGTTTCTGAGTTAAACCTCTGGAGTCTGGGCACTATCTAATAGGACTCTGTTTATGTGGCTCAAATGGCATCACTAATGCATCACTATTTGTATTTTTGGTGGGCAGTAAAAGTTACTGAACTAACAGCAGCATCAGCAGGGCTTTAGACTGCAGTGATTTTGGTGCAAGCAGTCCATATTCAGGGTGCTGTCAGAATGATTGCATTGCCTTTTCCTTCTTGACAGGTTTTGCATTTTGGTAAATACAGAGATGTGGCGGAATGTGGGGTAAGTTATATGGGTTTGGGGGTTAAATAGTAGTCAGAAAGATGCAGTTTTTAAGGGCAGAACAGATTATTTGTTACTTACCAATGGAGATACTGCTCTTAAAATGAAAAATCAGTCTCCAGCTTGGAAAGCAGTGTTTTCTAAACTGCTCACAGGCATTCTAAGTTCAGCAAGCTTCCAGCTGTTTCTGTTCCATTTAAAATTTGTTTTGTTGGTGGGGAGGAGGGAAGCACTGTTAATCTTGAAACTTTGACTATGGAAAACAATTTCCCTTTGGTAGTGCAATGCTGTTGGACTCAAAGCATTACAGATAAGAACTGTTTGGGTTCACACTTTCTTGAGTATGCAGCCTTGCATGTTTGTTGTAACTTGTGGTTAGTTTTAAAAAAGAAAACAAACTCTAATCAG